CTCTCGATCAACCAATCAGTGCGAAAGCTGTAAATATGAAGAAGCAATTGCATTTAGAAGCAATAACTACAACTCATATTTTCATACCTTATTCATAGTTAGTCGCATGGAAAACGCTAATTCGTATGTTCGCAATCGCATTTCTGTTTTACTTGAAAAAAATTATCAAATTTGGCAAATACTAATGCCCAAAACATGATATCTCAAAAGGATTCGCACTACGTCAATAAAATCTTTAGAATGGACTCAGTATAAAGTAAATTGTTTGAGCCCGGGAGTATCGTTACATGTTTCTAGATGTAGATCGTCTAGGTTAGTAAAGTCCTGAGAAGGATTTTGATGTTGATGTTGACTGACCTTTTGACAATCTTAGCAGTAGTATTTTTGACTATAAAACGACTACCGCTAAGGTTGTCGAAACGTCAATCAACATCAACACCAACAGTCCTTCTATGGACTCTACTAACCTGGATGATCTACATCTACAAACATGTACTCAGTATATTGTGTATTGACGGAGTTGAGCTAAACTAACCTTCCCCACCACAATTTGGACGTGTTTTTTAAATTATGACTTTCCATTTCCTAAAATTATCAAACATTTCTTCAGTCGAGAAGTTCTTCGGTACAATGTTAAAGATAAAAAGCTTAATTAAAGACACCTTACCAATTGTTGATTGAGTAAAATCTTTAGATTGAGTTGAAAATCATCTGTACAGCTTGTATACTTCCGGAGGTAATTAATATTAAAATCGACTCTTTACTGAGCATGCGCAATTGTAGACACTCGGGACGAGGCTCATTCCAAAGCTCTCAATGAGAGGTCTGGAATGGTGTAAAAATCATCTCCACAGCGTGGTTTATGTGTAGCGTAAGGGTGTTTTAAGGGTGATTTGAGGGTACCTTTAGCGTGGTTTAAAGGTGGTCCAAGGCTTGAAGGCTACGCTTCGCTACCCTAGACTACGGTTAAACCACCCTTAAACTACCCTTAACCCTCCTCTAAAACCACCTCTAATCCACTTTTAAAACCACCCTTAAACCACCAGATTGATATACTCCAAAATCCCAAGATACCTCTACGTACTCCGAACTCCCAAGATACCAACACGCATTTTTCTATTATTTATTGAAGAGCTTTCACTAACCTGTAAGATGGTGATATCTTGGGCAAGTGTACCGTAACCGTTATTTCTTGTGAATATTCGAGTTTAGCCTCAATACAATGAAGTTAGTCAACACAGTTAAATTTATCATATGACAAAGAATGTAGTTTGCATGAGTTGTTCTTGTGTAGAACAAAACTGATAAACGAAACTAAAAACCTTGTTGTTGGTATACTCTATAGGCCATCATAGAAACGCACAACGCTACACTACTTAAAGAATGGCGGTCAGCTAAAAATGTCCAATTCGATTCTACGTAGATCTGACAATTGCTTAAACGTTGCTCATTATGGTAATCAGATTATTCTACCTAACATATCTCTGGTATTGAAGAAATACTTTGTAAACGTTCACTGGTATCGAAGAAACAATTTGTAAACGTTCACTGGTATTGAAGAAATACTTTGTAAACGTTCTCTGGTATAGAAGAAATACGTTGTAAATGTTCTCTGGTATTGAAGAAATACGATGTAAACGTTCTCTGGTATTGAAGAAATACGCTGTAAACGTTCTCTGGCATTGGAGAAATACGTTTTAAACGCTCTCTGGTATTGAAGAAATACGTTGTAAACGTTCTCTGGTATTGAAGAAATACGTTATAAACGTTCTCTGGTATTGAAGAAATACGTTGTAAACGTTCTCTGGTATTGAAGAAATACGTTGTAAACGTTCTCTGGTATTGAAGAAATACGTTGTAAACGTTCTCTGGTATTGAAGTGAAAAACACTGAATTTTCTTCACCAACTGAGCAAAGATTCTCTTTTTCCTTGAACTGCTTGTCAACAACCATTGAAAGATTATTCAAAAACTCTTCTAAGGTTATCGTTTGTGCCTATTACGTAGGTTCGAGGGGCAATATAAGTACATGCATGTACAACAAAGAACACAAGTGAAGGCTTTAATTCGTATTACTTACTTTCGAATACAGCGCATGTGCAAGAAATGGTAGTTTACGAAGAGTTCGACCACTTAGTTGATAACTTTTTCTAAACAAGAAAATGAGAGAAAGAATACTTCGTAGGTTTATCACTGTGAGACGCTTGACTGCTCATTGCAAGTTCGAAAGGAGAAGGGCCTCCCAAAGAAACCTAACCAAAAGTTAACCAATAAATGCAGTGGTCATTTCCATGACCATTTACTAGCACAATTGGTCAAGTGAGCTTTGCACATACTGCGCATGTCCACGCGTACTGCGCATGCTCAGATGATCTTTCTTACATTTATGTGACCAAGCGATTTAATTACTCAGAAAGCGATGAAAGTAACTTCACATTTCAAGTGATTTTACGACAGAAACGGTTGTTGGGAACTGGGGCCAAGAAAACCAAAGCAAAGAAAGTGATATTTTGGGCAAGTGTACTGTGAACCGTTATTTCTTGTAAATATTCGAGTTTAGCCTCAATACAATGACGTTAGTCAACACAGTTAAATTTATCATATGACAAAGAATGTAGTTTTCATGAGTTGTTCTTGTGTAGAACAAAACTGATAACGAAACTAAAGACCTTGTTGTTGGTATATTCTATAGGCCACTTCTTCACGCTTCTATAGGCGTACTGCACATGCTCAGATGATCTTCTTATATTTTTGTGACGAAGCGATTTAATTACTCAGAAAGCGATGAAAATAGATCCAGCTTGTTGTTGCCATCACTATGAAATTGAAAAATTTGTTAAATGACTAATGTTCTCATTATGATTGAAATTTATGATTTCCCAATATGTGACCAAGTGAACTACTGAAAGATGCAAGCTTGTTCAGTTGGTCATTGCCATGATTGTAAGCTCGAACAGTTTGTTGAGTTGTTTGTGCATGTTCATATGAGTTCTCAAATATTTTGGGACTGAAGTTTAAAATATACCGTCTTAGTACTTGCAACATAAATAAAATTTAACTTTGTATTACATCTACAATTAAGGCGTAAAGATGTTTTTTCTTTGTTATCGTAGTCATTAGTTATCAAGTAATGCACGACTCTCAAATAATCACGAATATTGGTTAACTTTTGGTTAGGTTTCTTTGGGAGGCCCTTCTCCTTTCGAACTTGCAATGAGCAGTCAAGCGTCTCACAGTGATAAACCTACGAAGTATTCTTTCTCTCATTTTCTTGTTTAGAAAAAGTTATCAACTAAGTGGTCGAACTCTTCGTAAACTGCGATTCCTTTCACATGCGCTGTATTCGAAAGTAAGTAATACGAATTAAAGCCTTCACTCGTGTTCTTTGTTGTACATGCATGTATATATATTGTCCCTCAAACCTACGTAATAGGCACAAACGATAACCTTAGAAGAGTTTTTGAATAATCTTTCAATGGTTGTCGACAAGCAGTTCAAGGAAAAAGAGAATCTTTGCTCAATTGGTGAAGAAAAAGCGTGCAAGCGTGATCTTTTTAACGATTGTATACTTTTTATACATTCATAGAAATCTTTTGGATATGCTTTGTTGAAGATTAAGATTTTTTATTGCTCAATTTAAGTCCATTTGGTAAGATAGATCACAAAGTTTGCTAATTTATATTGGTACTTTGAGACTGGTTACATGACGTTTCTGCAACACACCCGAGATCAAAGTTCGTATGTATTAAAATGCAGCAATGTGTATAGTTCGTTATTGAGGATAACGTGAAGATTATTTTAATTAGGGAAGGATATTTCTACGTTATAGTTAATTGTAACTGTTTAATTTCAACTTATGTTTACATTAAATGACATCCTTAAGTCAACTTTACTAATATTGATCGCTATTTTCGTGTTATACATCTATAATCATCTTGTTAAAGATTTGAAGCTTTGTTGCGATAATACAGGTTTGTACAGCTATCTCATCTTTGTTTGTTGCCTATCTGATAGCATGTAAACTCCGGGGACCAGATTTTTTATCGAGATTTATATGAAATTAGAGATTGTTGTACGTCTATCTAATAACTTGAGCATGAACGATATGTTGTTGAAAGATAAGTTTACATATACTCTAGCGTAGTTTCTTCATCAGGAGTGATCTAATGTTGAAACGTGAGTGTCACTATATGCTCCAGTCTTATGTCTTTGTCAGGATTGATCTATTATTGAAATTTTCGCTAGTATTATTTAACCATGTTATCTAAAAACTTTATCCTCCATAGTCCAATTTTGTATTTGTATTTCCACTTGTTTTCTTTAACGTTTTAAACTAATGTTCTTCTTGACAGCAGAGAATTATTCTCATGATTTGGTCATTGGAATACTTTCATCGCACGGCAACTTTGATTTGAGGCAAAGTTTACGTGAATCATGGGTTGGCTATGCAAGACGACATTCATCGCTCAATAAAAGGTAAGCACAGGGAAAACACTGAATTTTCTTATTGAGGGTAGCTGTAGTGTATTTTGTGTTCAATTAGAGCTACTTAGCGTGTGAAACGTTACAGCAAACACAATATTTGTGAAGATAAAGTGTAGAACAGTGTTTCAAATTGGCCTGTCACGTTTACAACGTATTTCTTCAATACCAGAGAACGTTTACAACGTATTTCTTCAATACCAGAGAACGTTTACAACGTATTTCTTCAATACCAGAGAACGTTTACAACGTATTTCTTCAATACCAGAGAACGTTTACAACGTATTTCTTCAATACCAGAGAACGTTTATAACGTATTTCTTCAATACCAGAGAACGTTTACAACGTATTTCTTCAATACCAGAGAGCGTTTAAAACGTATTTCTCCAATGCCAGAGAACGTTTACAGCGTATTTCTTCAATACCAGAGAACGTTTACATCGTATTTCTTCAATACCAGAGAACATTTACAACGTATTTCTTCTATACCAGAGAACGTTTACAAAGTATTTCTTCAATACCAGTCAAAGTTTACAAATTGTTTCTTCGATACCAGTGAACGTTTACAAAGTATTTCTTCAATACCAGAGATATGTTAGGTAGAATAATCTGATTACCATAATGAGCAACGTTTAAGCAATTGTCAGATCTACGTAGAATCGAATTGGACATTTTTAGCTGACCGCCATTCTTTAAGTAGTGTAGCGTTGTGCGTTTCTATGATGGCCTATAGAGTATACCAACAACAAGGTTTTTAGTTTCGTTTATCAGTTTTGTTCTACACAAGAACAACTCATGCAAACTACATTCTTTGTCATATGATAAATTTAACTGTGTTGACTAACTTCATTGTATTGAGGCTAAACTCGAATATTCACAAGAATTAACGGTTACGGTACACTTGCCCAAGATATCACCATCTTACAGGTTAGTGAAAGCTCTTCAATAAATAATAGAAAAATGCGTGTTGGTATCTTGGGAGTTCGGAGTACGTAGAGGTATCTTGGGATTTTGGAGTATATCAATCTGGTGGTTTAAGGGTGGTTTTAAAAGTGGATTAGAGGTGGTTTTAGAGGAGGGTTAAGGGTAGTTTAAGGGTGGTTTAACCGTAGTCTAGGGTAGCGAAGCGTAGCCTTAAAGCCTTGGACCACCTTTAAACCACGCTAAAGGTACCCTCAAATCACCCTTTAAACACCCTTACGCTACACTTAAACCACGCTGTGGAGATGATTTTTACACCATTCCAGACCTCTCATTGAGAGCTTTGGAATGAGCCTCGTCCCGAGTGTCTACAATTGCGCATGTTCAGTAAAAAGTCGATTTTAATATTAATTACCTCCGGAAGTATACAAGCTGTACAGATGATTTTCAACTCACTCTAAAGATTTTACTCAATCAACCATTGGTAAGGTATCTTTAATTAAGCTTTTTATCTTTAACATTGTACCGAAGAACTTCTCGACTGAAGAAATGTTTGATAATTTTAGGAAATGGAAAGTCATAATCTAAAAAACACGTCCAAATTGTGGTGGGGAAGGTTAGTTTAGCTCAACTCCGTCAATACACAATATACTGAGTACATGTTTGTAGATGTAGATCATCCAGGTTAGTAGAGTCCATAGAAGGACTGTTGGTGTTGATGTTGACTGACGTTTCGACAACCTTAGCGGTAGTCGTTTTATAGTCAAAAATACTACTGCTAAGATTGTCAAAAGGTCAGTCAACATCAACATCAAAATCCTTCTCAGGACTTTACTAACCTAGACGATCTACATCTAGAAACATGTAACGATACTCCCGGGCTCAAACAATTTACTTTATACTGAGTCCATTCTAAAGATTTTATTGACGTAGTGCGAATCCTTTTGAGATATCATGTTTTGGGCATTAATTTTTGCCAAATTTGATAATTTTTTTCAAGTAAAACAGAAATGAGATTGCGAACATACGAATTAACGTTTTCCATGCGACTAAACTATGAATAAGGTATGAAAATATGAGTTGTAGTTATTGCTTCTAAATGCAATTGCTTCTTCATATTTACAGCTTTCGTACTGATTGGTTGATCGAGAGGCAGGGAAAATGAGCCAAGCCTGAATATCCGGGCGTGACTTATCCGACATTTGCCTGCGGTGCGGGCAGCATTATTTCTTCGGATATTGTTCACTGGCTGGCAAAAAACGAGAAATCTCTAAAACGTTATCAGGTATGTGATAGAAAAACCACGACGAGATTACAATGTTGAAAGTGACCTATTGATGTGTAAGGATGTAGTTCTCAGAGTACTAGATATTGACACATGTTTTTTTTCTTTCTTGTGTAAAGGGGGAGGATGTCTCTATGGGTATTTGGTTATCAGCTATTCCTCCTGAAATTTATAATGCAAGATCTCCTGTTCTTCCCTGTAAGTTATTGACAGTTGTTCAACAAGATCCTTTATGGTGATCGTACTCCAACAATCTTTTTTCAACATCACGAGGATTCAATAGAAACGTTTGACATGACCGTTAAAATTTCTTCATCGGAAACGCTCCCACCGTTTGGTAGAGCAATAAACCGATCAGCGTTTTTAATATCTTCTATCAAACTTCCACCTCTTTCCTCGGGTGCGAACACGCTACCATTGCTTGTCAAGCTGTCGGCAACGTTCGACTCCTTTCGACCAATTTTATCGGGAGATCCCGACTCTCGACCACGAGCGCTCTCCGTCTCGCTGTTGAATCTAGAGTGACGAGTCTCGCTACTCGTGGAAATGTAGCTGTTCTCTTGCGGACTTCCTTGTTGTCGTCTCTGCTCTCGTTGTTGTTTTTATTCGCATGCTGCAAGTTTCGCAGTCAAATCACGTATTTCCTCCTGTGAAAAGTGTAAGGATAATGATTTTAATATGGGAATGTCATTAATTGAATATCAAATCGTCTTATTTCATATGTGTTAACGGGACATATATTGTTTAACAAAAGCATATTTTACACGTTGTTTGACGTACGCCTATAAATGGTTTAATGCATTATGTGCCGTCACAAAAAGCACACATTCAATTTTCAAGTTTTGAAAAAGAGAAAGACTGTAATTGGACGTGAATACCATTAAAGGGACCAAAGTTTAACATATTTTCCCCATACCTTCCCGTCAGACCCTGGTGCATCTTACGATCGACTCGTTTATTAGCAACTCTGCGATGGTTTGACAAATCTCCCCTAACCCTCAAACCTAGGCCACCCACTTTGCAAATGGATAGTCGTTCTTTGTATTTAAGACAATAACCGTTGACATTGTTTCTTTGAACATTCTTCGAAAAATCCTCGTTTTAATCTGTACTCAAACAGTATTCCCAAAATATCTTCCCCTCAGTTGTATATTCTCAGTTTCCAGACCCTCGCGGGTTTTCTCTTCATCGTTTTCGCACACCAAAGTACCGTCCTCCAAACGGTTAAGATGAAAAGGTGATTTGCGAAGATCCGTCATCATTGTGGCTATAGACGAACTACCCCGAGAACGCCTTCTTTGATTTACATTGATTTTTTCAAGAAGTATACCTTTAAAACAGACGGGAAAAATTTAATATTGAGAAGGGCAGTTATAGGTCAGCAAGTACCCAGACTGACTCAAGCATTAAATGTTATGTACTGGAATTCTTGAGTATGCTTCGAAACAGAGAAATGTCCTTTGAAAAAACGCGTCAAGCATTTTTATAGATAATATAATATCGTTAAGCGCAATAAGATAATATCGTTAAAAATAATAACTTAACCCTAAATTTGCAAAACTATAGAACAACTTTTTCTGATTAAGTGTGCGTTGTTTATTATAGTAATACAATCAAAATTTAAAAAAATTTAATTTGCATATTGTGATCAAAAAACTAAAATAAGTCAGGAAATACTCATATGAAAACAAAAAAAGATTTTAATGTAAAGAAAGTTACTTTAGGGTTTTTTAAAAATATTAAAAAAAATAATTTCTTCATCTCATTTGGACTATATGTAATAATTTACAATATGTATTTCAAGAAAGCCGAACTTAGAAATTGTTAGAAAGAACTTAATTTTTAGACAAAATAGACCTATAAACACTAAAAAAGTTATTGTCCTTAAAAATGATACTTTAACTATGAATTTTCAAAACTATAGAACAAATTTTTAATTCAGTCTGTAGAGTTAATTATAGAAATGATACAAAATTTAAAAAAACCTGATTTTTGAAAGTTTTGTTTAAAAACTAAAACAAATTATAAAATACTTATAAAAGTACAAAAATTACTTATGTGAATAACGTTATTTTAGTTTTCATATGCAAAGATTTAAAAAAATTTCTTTATATCATTTAGAATAAATATCGTAGTAATACATTATATATTTTCAGAAATCAGAATTTAAAAGTCGTTATAAAGAATTGACTTTCAGAAAAAATAGACATATAAACACCAAATAGGTTATTTTTGTTAAAAATAATAATTTAACCTAAAAATTGCAAAACTATAGAATAACTATATTTAATTTAGTGTGTGATGTTTATTATACTAATGCAATGAAATTTAAAAAACTTGAATATGCAATTTGTGTTTATAAAACCAAAATAAATCAGAAAAAAATTATATAAGTACTAAAAATACTAATGTGAATAACATTATTTTACTCTTCATTTGCCAAAATTTGAAAAGACAATTTCTTTAGTTTTAATGAAATATACATCATACTAATACAAGAAATATTATAATAAAAGAGAACGTAAAAGTCATTGGTAAAAACGTAATTTTTAAACAAAATAGACACAGAAGCACTAAACAAGGTAATATTGTTTAAAGTAATAATTTAACCTTAAATTTGCAAAATTATCGAACATATATCTTTAATTAAATAAATTAAATAAAGATATGATCTTCGCACTTTTGCTGGACAATTTAAGCAATTGTCTCATGAACCTGAAAAATTCAGGTGACTCAACGGGATGCGAACCCATGACCTTTGCGGTGCCGGTGCAGGCAGTGCTCATACTTTATTTAATTTTAACACCGCACTGCATATAACATTCTTTCATATATCTTTAATTTAGTGTCTGTCGTTTTATTATAACAATACAATAAAAATTTTAAAAAACTTGAATTTCCAAGTTGTAATAAAAAAACTTAAATAAGTCAAAAAATATTCATATAAGCACAAAAGATATTAATGTAAACAACGTTATTTTAGTTTTCATTTGAAGAATTAAAAAAAAATTTCTTCATTTATTATTAAATATATATTAAGTTTGAAAATTTGTAATCCAGGCATTTAATATATAAAAGATAAAAGTTTCTCCGGATTTTAAGTGATTTTTATTGAGCTTTCGACTCGTTGCTTCGAGCCTTCATCAGAATGAGAATGTTTATTTACACGTGCGTCTAATTAGATTAGTGGGCGGATTAATGTGATTGAATGGGGTGAAATGTGTTGCCATGGGTTTTGGTGTATTGTTAATATGATTGGTGTTAATTATATTAGAGTGTAGTGTTTTAGTTTTGGTGTTGTTTGTAGTTTTTTTGTACTTTTTCTTATGGCTAGTGGTTGGTCTTCGTCATTTGAGCCTTGTAACACCAGTTCGGTTGACGTTAGTTGTCCTGAAGACGTTGAGGAGGTTGCTAGTAAAGCGTCGCCCAAACCAGAAGTTAGTTTTCATGATATGCTAACGGATTACGCGAACGTTGTTAGCAAGAAGTTCACATCAAATATTTATGGTCTCGTTCCATCGTCTTCTGAGAAGGTTTCATGTTCATCCTGTATCTTTCACCAATGTTACAAATGCTTATTTTTTTATGTTTTTTGAAATTGTCGTTTTAATGACTATTATTTTAGAGCATAGACATTGAAGAATCTAGTGGTAGTACAGGTATTTTTAACATTTTTTTTTGTTGAAAAACTCTCTAGTTTCAATTCTTCAAAATTTCTCATCTTAATTTTCATCTTTAGTTTAGAATCCTTTCGATACGAGAAATGCTTGGGATTTGTGGTACTTTATACGATATATTGAATTTAAGTTTTATAGCTTTAATAACTCTTATCTGTCCATCGTAACTTTGCTATAATTCTATGGATAAATCATGTTTTTATACTTAATAGATTATTGGTGATCCTACTTCACCTGAAGATGTTCAGCAAGAACGACGTATGAAGTTACTGTCGTTAATTAACAATATAGCCCGGGAAAAAGGGTTAGATGGCCAAAATTATAAAGTAATGGTTGTTCCAGACCAATTGGAATGGGTATGATCAATCAATTCTCGACTTGTTATTTTCATAATAACTCAAATATATTTATTTTCAAATATCTTAGCTTATTAAATTTTATCTTTGTAGAAACTATTATAACAAAGCACACAATCCCTTTTTTCCATGAAGCCCATGGATGCTTTCGTTCATGATGAAAGATTCATATTGTATAAGGAGGCTCGCGTTCATCACGAGAGAGTTATGACAAAGTTACATTGTTAAAGGTAAAAAGTAAAAAACGTATAAACATGCATAGAGTTTGTTTAAATTATAATTCAAAAAGGCAGAAGTTGTTTGAACCTTTGAAGTATCCTTGGACGTTCTAGTTTCTTTTATGAGAAGAATTCTTGTAAAGAAAAAGACAAATTTTGAAAACAAAAAAATCCCGTTTTCGGTCCGTGCCTCCCGATACCCGTGATAGTTGAGCACTAGAGCGTCGCATGTTAACTAAGGGAACCACATAATCCTTGTTTGTTTGCCATGAAGCATATGGATGGTTTTCTCGTGATACATGAGAAACAGTAAATGGGAGAGTTAAATCAGAAAGATATAAAGCGATGAAAATGGTATAAAACATGTTTAAGGTTGTCTTTAATTATAAGTATCAGATAAAGACAGGGTCATAAGAAGTTAATTGAAACATTGCATGGTTTTTTTTATGAGAGGAAAACAAAAAGACAAAATTCGAAAGCAAAAAAACCCCGTTTTCGGTCCATGCTTCCCGATACCTCCTTAAGCTCAAGGCACTAGAACGCCGCATGTTAACGTTTCGGTAGGAGATTTCGGCCCCTCCACGCTATCCTACTCTGGAGATGCCAATAGCAAGCTTCCGCCCATCAGACCCTGAGATCACTTACGATAGGCTTTGCTCAGGGTACGCAGGGAGAGTGCGGTCGCCACCGAAGTATGGGCTCCTAAGCCACTGCATACTATATCGCACCCAGCTTCCACTGCTAGTTGGCATCTACTATATGAAGTTTTAGCTTTATATATATATACCAAAATTTAAAGGCGTACGAAAGTTGTGGGTTGATTGTTATCGTTACTGCGCATGCGCAGGTGATTTCTTTGATAATTTGCGACTAAGTGAGTTAATTGACACAAATGTAGTGCAAATACGTATAGTTGGTCGTTCTCATGACTATGAACAACTACTCGAGTGGACTGCGCATGCTCGAGCGCATGCGCAGATGATTTCTCTATTAAATTGTTACTAAGCATGCTATTTACTTCAAAATTGGTGCTAGTAGATGCAGGTTGTTGTTGCCATGACCATGAACTTGAGTAGCTGGTCAAGTTGACTGCGCATGCTCAAGCAGACTGCGCATGCGCAGACGATTTGTGTTAAAACTTGTGACTGAGCGAGCTAATTACTCCAAAGTCGGTACTAGTACATCCAGTTGCTCGTTACCATGAGCTTGGAGAGTTTGTGGTGTTGACAACACATGCTCAGATTCTCAATTAATTTGTGACAGAGCGAGCTCTGAAATTGGTGTTTGTAAATGCGCTGAGCAAGTTTTCAATCATATATTTTTGGAATGCTCTTTGTCTTCTTAAGCTTGTTTTGACAAATGCATATGAAACTCATCAACACTTTGTTACGGCACTCGTAATATCCGTGACAACGTAAAAATGTTTTTTTATTTTTCTGTATAACTTAATGCCTGTATATTGCATGTCATATTCAAGCTTTCCTTTGATTTGACGCGAAATGGTTTTTATTCATTCTTACACCTTTTGCCTTTATAATTATTCGATCTGTATTTCTAAAATAATATTTACAAATGCCCGAAGAGAATCTTTTTATTTTATTGGCTCTCTTCTACGAAAACAATACTATGTCCCACCATTTGAGTGCACGAATTTTGTAATTTGATCACGTTTTTTTGACACGTGTGTTTACCATCGGAAAGATGGATTGCTTAAATGTACTTAGTTGCTTAGACTAATTGGATCCATTGTTATCCTTTAATGTATACCCCTGTGAAACACCATTGACCATACGTATTGTGTCTACTATAACCTCTATTCTTGTTCTCCACTTCATCATGTATCCATATTTGTTCTATTTTAGGTCTCAGCTCAACACAACCCTTGTTTGAAGTTCCTAAAACCTTGTTCATTGCTTAATCGAGTATCGCTATGATTTAAAATCATCGAGCACATGACAATATATGTAAAATACAAAGAATACAATACAAAACTGTCCAAACCTGAAATCGGAAAAGGAAGTCTTCTCGTCATTTAGCCGCATATCGGTTAAATACGCAAAAGAAACTTTGTTATTCTCAATGGTTATTCTATATTTTAGTGGTTTTTCATAGCTTATTAAGGCGGTGTCTACATGAGTCCGGAATGACTTTCGATCGGAACGAACTCATTCCATTTAAAAAAAAAATTCGATTGTATGTTTACATTAATCCGGAATGAGTTACAACTCTATCGGGATCGAGTTCATTCCTAATTTTATTCCGCATCGAAATTTAGTTTTATTCCCATGTAAACGCGAATTGAGTTTCATTCTGGAATGAGATTGTGATTAATGACGAAGCGCGCATGCGCCATGCGGAGTGTCTTCTGAGAAATTGACGCTCGTAAGCAAATAAGGCGGCTTAATGGGCTAAAATGAGTGGGACAAAAAACAATTAGTTTCTTGCAAGTTTTAAGCTGTATTAACGCAGGAGCAACAGAAAAAAAAGGGTTGCTATAATGTTTATACTCGCCATCTTCAAATTTGAAAATTCCCGCGAATGTCAATCCTTGTGTTGATTTCCCATGTAAACACGGATTGACATCATGTTTCGATTGAATTACCAATGGTAATTACATATACATAAATATTCGTCGATTTTTACCTACCGCTGACATAATAAGAATAATATGTGGGCGCATACGTTAGTTGACCATGATCGAGTGCCGACCATCTTTCTCAAACCTCTAACATCTCATTATAATAATGCCTGTCATAAGCGGATGAGAAATCACCTTGACGAAGAATAAAACCGAGAACTTGGAAGAGCTTTTTAATGAAGCTTTTGTTAAGTCTGCTATAATGGAAAATGCCATCTCTGGTTTTCGCACAAGTGGAATTGATCTATTAAATCCAATTGTGATACACTAGAGTGATTATATTGAAGATATGTATTTTTATCAAAAACGTCCGCTGCCACAAGTGGAGAATTGATGAAGTGAGTGAAATTAGCATGCCAGGAACTAGAGATGATGAAAGCCATGATGAATGCCCTTCTTTAAATCATTGTGTTACTTCAACACATGTAGTACAAAGTCTTTCATCTGCTTCTTCTCTTGTCTCTGAATTTTCAACAGTCAGATAACACCAAATGCAAACTCTTCAACATTATTTGAGGATATTTTACCCCTACCTTCACTTTGTGCCCGAACAAGTAACCATTTGTCAGTCTCAGAAATTACAACCAGCTCCTCTTATAAAAGGAGACTACAAATTGAAGAAGAGGAAAAGGCAAAGAAGATCTTAAAAACAAAGAAGAAAAAGATAAAGGAAGAAAAAATCCAAAGATAAAGAGTAAAAGGAAACTAAAGAAAAAGAATACTGCAAGACCAATTCTGGTTGAAGATGATAAAAGTAGATCTGAGTGGATTTTTCCTGTCTCCAGAGCAAATTGGGAAGAAAGTAAAACAGACTGGATTGTTTGTTCAAACTGCACTGCTTAGGTTCACGAGGATTGTACATCCAACGAATTTTTTGTGCGTGTGATTAGATAGCTAATATGAATATGTTTTATTGACTTTTTAACGTTTTCAACTTTATGCTTTATTTAAACTTTTTGTAACTTAATAAGTAAAATTATTTTAGATTTATTGGAACAAATAAGATTCCAAACTTTTTATACATATTGTCTTAAAATTTACTCCTCCAGTCTACAATTACTTTTTGACAAAAACATCCCTATCTAAGTGTCGCACTTTGCCAAAGGAATTGGAGAAAGTGAGGAACATCGATTGTCTAATATTATGGATAAATAAAGCAGTACTTGTTATTTTTAAAAGATTTCTATCAATGGAACTTTGTATCAATGGAACTTTGAGATTCACTGTTCCAATTTTCGAACTAAGCACGTTAGATATTTCCCGCTTAGAAGTATCCGTAAAAGTGAAAAAGTATTGCACTTTGACTTGGCTTTAGCGTCCTAAGTGAAATTCTCCCTTCAGATCTATCTCAAAAAAATTTCGAAATGATAGTTTGTTTGCGAAAATGATTTTCGATTTTGTTGTTTGACGTACGAGGATTTAGTCGCTGTGACAGATGATTTACGCACGATATTAGTGCGGTAATGGTATTCTTCGACCATTAACAAGCACTCCAGAAGTTCGCAAAGACACGCATAGTGCTAGTTAATTGTTAACCCCTAAAGGTTGACAATCGTAATGGCTCGGCAAAGGATCAAACATTTAAAGTGATTATGAAAATTATGACAACTTTATGATTGTCATTACCAAAAGCAATTTTAAAACGAGATTTTACTAACACGCGTGACCTGACTAAAAAGGACTAAATGATGCGAATGTTTGGAGAAGATGACGAAAACAAAAAAATGTTTTGGGAGCTTTACACAAAAAGCAAATAGAACTCACGTAAGTAATTGATTCACTGGAACATAACAAAAATACGTGTCATACAACAAGCAAAAAGTACTAAGTTGATAATATTTTAATAGTTCAATCTAATTTATTTAAGGACTGTCGCTAGACGTCGACGATGAAGATGTACTCATCTGTTCCACGTCTCGCTCTTCTTCTATCAACCCATCAGAAAATTCAATTTTTATATCCGATTGGGCATTGGTGTCAACCTGCTTATAAAAGAAACAACATAAATTGTAGGCCTTTTTTATAATTGCAGAGACGGAAAAACTATTCAATCAAAAAGCGATGAACTAACTTCATAGCAGAAATAGATGAATGTGGGTAACAAACAACAAAGTTCAAGTGTTATCATTGCTACTTTTTTCAGTATTAATTCGTCCTCGACATTTAAATGTGAAAATTTAAACGTTGCACTTCTCGTGCCCCGAATTTAAGCATGAATTATTCTAATTTAATTTCGCCTTAAAATTCGAGCTGTGCAAGCGCAAACCACGATAATCGGCAGATGTGCTTTTGTAAATATGGTTTACAGCACAAAGATGCAGGCATGCTTATCATGTTATAAAGATACAAAATACAGCTGCATACATTGTCATATACCTGTGTGCAATACTTGCTCGTTAGCGGAAAGATACAAAGGTAGACGGGTGGATTGTCGGAAAGTGAGTTGGATACTGTGAAAATTGTTTTTTATTTCGGTGGCGCAAGCAAAAGGTAAAATGAATTTATAAATACGTTACTTTATGTTATTTATTATACCGAAAAATGAACGTTTTAAATTAAATCCAGAAATAGTTGATGTGAAATATTCACCGTCTTTAAAGTTTAAAGTTACCAACGAACGTGTGGTTGTATACTTGTATATTTTGGAAATTCTAGCAATCTGCATTGCAAGTGAAGTGCTGAAAATAACACTGATTTTTGTTACTCTGTTATAGGGCAGATGATTTTCCAAGAATGAACGAAAAAGGGGTGTGTAATGAGGTGTCTGATGAAGTGGAACGTTGTGATGACGAACATGAACATCCAGCACAAGCCATTACATAAAGAATGAAAAGAAGGAAAAGAAATCAGGTTGAAAAGCAAAATGGTCAGACATCCCTGTTGTTGATTTTGTTGACATTGTAGTAAACAATAAATACTATAAGAAACGACTGATTTTTGTGAGCTTGAAAAATCATTATGCTGAAATCAATGAAAACATTCTGAAAGAACTTAAACTGCGAGAATCCAAAGAGAAGAAAATGTGCTTTTTACAGTTGTACAATTACGTACAAAATTCAAAAAATTGGTTGGGGAGTGTGAAAAAATTGCACTCACTGTTTAAAGTGCGACAGGAATAAAAATGATACAAGATGAGAAGGGATATCGACTTTGCTAAACCAATTTTGTTTCCTAGAGAAAACATGTGATTCTTGTCAGCCTTAGCAAGCAATTGAACTACATATCAACTCTCAATCGAGCTGATCATCAGGTTTCAGGTATTTTAGCATAATCTTCAGCATTTAATGAAACCGAACATGAAAAAAGTAAAGCTTAGTTTATTCCACTAAAACTGCATGGCGGAAAAGAAGAACCGAAGAAAATATTAAAGAGATCTTAGGGGCTGTGAAAAAACTGCTGAAAATGATCCTATGAAAGTTTACTCAATTCTGTTGAAAACGTCATGTACTAAACTATTATGTAAATTTGGTTTTATATTAAGTTCGACGTTTGACTCAAAGCCACTTTTCGTCCAGCCATCGTCGAATCTAATGGTATTAGGTTCGGCTGATGAGAAAAGTGACGTTGACCTAGGCCTTATTCTCATTGCAGCGATGAAATATATTCATCTTAATTTAGCATTATAATGACATGTTAGAAATTATGTTAGTCATCAACCGGTTAAATCGAGCCTATGAAATCATAGAGATATCGAATTGGAAATTAACCCCTGGTGTTGAATATGGGCATCGTTTGAAGATTACAAACAGTCGATCAAGAGGACAAGGAGAACCAAATGATTTGATTTTACAAAACCACTATACTTCTACTGCAAATTTTATTATCAATATATCAATTACCACCTCAAAGAACAAAATTTATGATTATGTCTATAATAGAACAGATGGTTGAAAAAATCGTAGAAAGTAAACGTCGCGTGGCTCTTCACTGCATGTTTCAGTCGCTTATTTAAAATTAACAATTAACGATTTCTCCCAGCTATCAAATATAAATGATAAATAGGTTTTCCGAAATTTTTTGAGGCAATCGTTCGCTCCTATCTTAAGATGTGTTCCATGTTCCATATGTTTTCTAAATTTTAATTGCAGCGCGCTAAGGTTTATTTGCCTTGAAAGTAAAGCGTTTCCAAATTTTATGAATCTCAATAGTCAGACACTTCAAATCCAATGTGAACGAAGACATGCTGAGTTTGATTAGCAAGAAATAAAATGCTGCTTTGCTTACCTCGTGAAGAAACTCGCTGTTATTATTTGTAGGCTTAGAAAAAGCGTCTGGAAATGAGCCAGTCTGTTCGCAATCAAGCATACAATATTAAGACATTCAATCTTTCATACGAAATTAAGTTTTGAGATATTATGACGTCATTTACAGTGATTTTAGGGTATTATCGAAGTTCGCCATCAAATTTTACATTACTAACCATGAAAACAACACATTTTTTCAAAATAACCCTACTTTACAGCTTTGAATGCTGGTTCCATTTGGTATTTGTAAAAATTAGCGCCTTTACAAAGAGGACTGGTGAATAGCCCTCTCACATTGCCTGGTTACCAAGCCAAAATTCATAATAAGAATAGAAAGCCATCAAAGTAGTTTTTGCAGTGCTATTGTCAGTGAAAATGCCCGATAAATAAGGATTTTTTGATCGAAAATTAATAAGCAAAGAATTCACGGGAATTTCTATTTCAAATCCGACAAATTTGACTACTTATGTCGAATGAAGTGGCATCGTCAAGTGCATTGGAACACAGATCATTGCCTGCCTCAAAAACTTTACTCTGATATATCAGTGAAGATGATGATGATTGTAATAATAGGCTTTGACGTGCAGATGAATGTCTAGTTTGGTGCCCAATTTCGAACCATTTGTGCGCCAAAAATATAAGTAAGGTCACATTGCCATGAAAGATCGATTAAAATGGAATAGTTCATCAACTTTGTTTGAATTATTCAGCTTGAGAAGTGCGTTTTTTGTCTGTCAAATGGGGGGTAGTAACTAGTCTAAATACTTTGAAGCAAATAAAAGGGCCATTTTGGAAATGTAAGAAATATTGGAGATGGTCATACCACAACTTTTGCTCTATTGGAGAAACTAGTTGGTATGGGTATCAAAAATAAATGATGACCGCCTTAATCATTCGGCAATAAACAGCTCTGTTAAGCAAAATAATTAGAGAAAAGGGATAAAGCAGACAAAAAAGGGATTATACAGTTAAACTAACCTAAAAAGAGCTGTATCTGGAGCAGAAGCATTTTAAGCCCTAAACTTAAACTGGTTTGGTGAACCCAAACTTTGCGCTGATTTTCATAATTTACCATTTTCAGGCCTTGGCCAAATTGGTCCTTGTGATTTCTGAAGAACTATTAGACCTATTGACCTGAAATTTTCACTAAAGCTTTATGAGCATATAAGTTGTGCAAAGAGCTACGATCTTTAGGTTTGAACTAACCCAATCAAGGTAATAAGCATTTTAGTCAACAAACTTATGCCGTTTTTCATTACGTTATTTTAGTTTATTAATTTTATATGAAAGGATGGCCATATTAGCTGATTCAAGTTCCTTGCACAACCCACTGCTTCTTTATATGGTAAAGTTTTTGGAACCATACCTAATATGGAACTGCTAATATTAGATTTTTTGTAACCTCCTAATTTTCATTGCACGGCTGCTACATTTTTGCAATTCATTGGGTACACACTAAATATTGTTTGGTGGGAGCACTAAGTGTGTTCTTTCTCTCCCCAAAATATCCTGGTATATTAATCATTTTGTGGTAAAGAAATTGGCTATTGAAAACGGTCAATTTTTTCTATCGAGCCACTTAATTGATACGAAAACAATTTTATTTTTCACAGATAAAACAGGCTGCAGGCTTTTTCAGTTAAATACAAAAATAAAAAATAGAAACAATGAAAAAATACTTGTACGGCAAAAGTCCAATATAAAATAAATGCTTACTGGCACATTTGCCACATGCAAAACGTTTCCATAATCGGACAGGGATACATAAGTTGGACTAAAATAATGTGTTTTTCAATGGCAGTTAGGAGGACAGTGAGTGGAAGATTTACAGTTACTTTTTTATATGATATGCTTATTAAGTTGAGAAATGAAAAACATGATTAAGGTGTTTCACAACAAATATTACTCGCAATAAGCTTAGACAACTTATTATTACTATTATATTTCTGAATAGCGACTATGACATTATTAATAAATTAGAAACTCTGTCTTGTAAGCAAAAAACCTATAACAATGGACTTACTAGAGGTAGTATGGTCACTGAAAGTGATTGTGAAGGTAAAAGATCGTTGGAGATCATTGCAGAGGAACACTTGTTTACATAGTTCTCCACAACATCTGCATGAAAAGAAGTAATGCGAGCCTACGGTAATGGGGTTTTACATATGATGCAAAAGCTAATAAAAGACGCCTACGAGAAACGTTTGACTTAAATGAATATCCATTGTCATTTGGGAGATGAAGGAAAACTAAAAGAAATACTTAACTTAAATGAATGTCTAATGCTTTTGGTAAGAAAAGAAAACTTGACTGGAATGTCCAAACATCATTCTAAACAAGCTCATTTAATGATCTCTGAAAAATCACCTTGCGTTGCAGAAAAAAAGGACATAAATTTCCTATTTTATTTTTCCTTAACGTTTCAGTAGCATTTTCCAAAGGTATTTTTACAAATCATTTCATTCATTTCTGTTGCATTTGTAATTTTACTTTTCTTAAAAAGAACTAACATCTCCAATCTATATTAACACAGCTCTGTATTACAACGGAAAGAACAAACAACGTTTTAGATACAAGCGGGAGAATGGACAAGACGAAATCCAGTCGATCTAAGCCGGGAAAGGTCTCAAGCTGATCTTTCAACAAAATCCTTTCATCTCACACATCATATGTGTGTTTAATGTGATGATACAAGTCACGAGGCATCAACCTGCAGCAAGGTAGTCGATGTGGGGGAGAGA